GTGTCTTTAAATCGCAATGTTCGTTTCCTAAATAGTTAAGATTGTGATAAGCATATTTTAAGGATGTTCTGGCCAATTTCATTCATATCATTTTAAATCAGTTCTCTGCAAACGATAAAAATTCACTTGTAACGTTTTGAGACTAGCAAAAGGATAAGCAACAATGAATTTAACACGATTTTGTTGGAATTAATTAGGATGAAAGGTTTCTTGCTCTATTGTGGATATTGTTGTATATATGAAATCAATACAATGATTAATAATGATCAAACCGTAATGAAAAGATGTTTCGTAAGATTACCTAAGTCACAAAACTATAATGTATGTAACTATGGTCAATATATTTGGCAGCTTAGCAAAAAGGATGTTTCTCTGTATTACTGATGGACAGTGTAAGCTGATAGATGTTATCATTTGTGAGCATTTTTATCGACCAAAGTAAGGATATTTGAGGAAGAGATTATGCTAAGAGCTGAGCCTTACCCACGTTTAGCTCACAGTATAAGCGGTGGCGCATAGGAGCAAACGGTTGAAAAATTTAATAGCAAGTTCAAAGCATAACTGCAATAACCTTATGCATTTAAAAGAGTCAGTTGATAATTTGTAAGCCCAGACGAAATTACAATAAAAAATATGCCGCCTGAACCTTAACCGAAGACAGCCGTTTGACCCGAAATATAGATGAGCCGCTTAATTATGCAAAATTCAAAATGGATAATAAATTTTCTCTGAAATTGTTAATGATTTTTATCAGCAGTAGTATTAATAAAATATTCTTTCTCTATTTCTATTTTTAGTAAGACGAAAACATCTCATGTCATCGGCTGTCCGTCCATCAGTTCCTCTAATTTGGCGCCTTAGACGGACAAACAAACCATTTCTTGACATCCAACTTCTATTTGGCTATCTTTTAGTATTGTCTACTCGCATTGTGGTAATGTCCGCCAGCCATGGAAGTGAAAATGCAGATGCAAATATAGCTCTTGATCAAGAGTTGTCGTCCACCAACCATACAGAAGCTAGAGTGTCCTCAAGCTTGATTGATGCTTTCATACAAGGATCTAATTTGCCAAAAGTATCAGAGAACAGCTTGAAGAAACGGATTTTAACGAAAGCTAGTAAGGAAACAGAATATTTGGGCAAAAAAAAGATAAGAATACACAGTTATCAGTATGGAACGTACTTCAATAATAGCCCAAGTTCCAAGTTCTTGCCACGAACTCGTCGTCTTTCTGAAAGCACTGATAACCTTCTAAACAGCACTGACGACTGTCCAATAGAGGTGATACAACCTCAGGTGAGCCGACAGAAGTCAGGCATGAGAACAAGAATCCCATCAAATACATCACATCAGTGGCGAAAAGAGAAGCAGTTGAACTTGTACCAGCATCTCCCTGATCTTTTCCGTAACCAAGGAGCACTCAAATCATCAAGTAAGGCAATAGATGAAATTGAGAACTCTGATATAAGGACAAGTGAAGATGTGCAACCGGTAGCATTGCTAAATTCTGAATATATACATGGGCCAGATAGTCTTCGACAACGGAAAGAGCGTGGAACTGTGTTAAATACGAATGACGCAGTAACCATAAAACCAGGAGGCTTCCATGAACCTTGTTTCTATCCCCACCTACCGAGATATGTAAACGCCACGGTTGGTGAGACGATCCACTTACCATGTGTGGTAGAAAATGTCGACTTTACCAGAACTGTAGTAAGTAACTGCAAAATTGTAGCTTTCTATTTAGAGCAAATGTTATACTTTGTTTGAAAACCTTGCGTGTCCAAAAATACTTAGCCAGATTTAGTCACATATTTTCGAGAAGTTATTTATAAGTCAAAGCCAGGCCCAGATGGAATATGTACCTCGCCGCCAAAATCGTTGAGAGATAAAATGTGTATCATCGGTGTAAAGGTACAG